ATTAAATAGATTAAATAAATTAAATAGATTAAATAGATTAAATAGATTAAATAGATCAAACAGGTTAAATAGATTAAATAGATTAAACAGATCGAGCAGATAAGCTAAGTCTAGATAATATTATTATATTATAATTAAAAGTATATTATACTTTATATATTATTTGTATAAAAAAATATATATATATTACTAATTAATCTGGAGTTATTAATTTATCTGCTATATCTAATCTTTCTAACCGGCAGGTATAAACAGTTAAAATAATAGTTATATCTTAATCTAATTATAACCATATAGTTAAAATTTTTTTATATCTTTTTTATATCTTAACCTGACCGCCAGATTATGGCCAGGTTAAGGTTAAGGTATAACGGTCAGGTTAATCCACTCTAGCTGTAGTATATATAGCGTTTTTAAATATATATATATAAGGTATTTAATAAGAAAGAATTAATCAAAGAATTGATTATAGGTCTTTAAAAAGTTATATAAATGTTTAATTATACTTCTATTTTTGTATATAAATTAAAATTCTGATATAGGCAGTATAACGGGCTGTTATGGGACCAAGGCCCTGATATAGAGCTCAGCTTCAGGCACCAGTTGATGCCTGAGGCCTCGCACGCTACATACTAAACTAGCGCTAGCTTAGCACACACTTAAAGGAATTTTGTACGAACAGACAAAATAGCTCTTCAGCTATTTCTTCTTGTTCTAAGGCACGTTTCGATTAGCACAATCCATGCGTCCCGTAACACGGGCTGCTTGCCAAGATCGGGTAGCCGACTCGCTTACCGATTACATTAACCTTAACACCCGCAGGTTGTGCGCATGTATACAGGGCTTGCAAGCCACTGTGACAAAAGGCCAGAATGACCTGTCGCGAAGATATATGGTGGTTATGGCTGGTGTTGGCGTATTTTTGGATAGAAAAACCAAAAACATGCCAAAAACATACAACAGAAGGGATTCGCTGGTGGTCACCCACCCAACTACTAACCTCCCGGCGTGTGGCTTGAGTATGGCTGAGCGGACGGGAAGCCCTATTTTCCACACCCTGTGGTCGTATGTGCTTTATGCTCAGCTTCAAAAATTGATTACTTTAGAATCCAGTCGGTGGAAGAGTGGGAGTCGCCAGCCCAGAGTAGGCCGGAACCGCGCTCTGCGCGTTCATAGATCGGGTGGGAGGTCTTCCGCACGTTTAGGTCATGTCAGAAATCTTCTCCGTGGGTGATCATCACGATTTGGGTGTGGCAGGTTGACGATGATGGCGGGGTCCTCGAAATTGGTGGACGTGGAAATGGGCTTCGCAAGAAAGAATGATTCTATTGTAGGGTACCTTGACCTGGAAAAAGGAGGAACTCAATTAGCCGACGTGAAGATCTCAGGAAGAAGGACAGGAAGATCCTACCAGAACGCAAGCAATCGGCTCTTCTGTCCGATAACAAAGCATCGGAAAATCTGCACAGCTGACGAAGGGGCTTGATATTGGCGTCTGAGTCTGTTGGAGAAAGATGGTGGAAATGAGTGGGTGAGTGGACGAGTCGCCTATGGCTGCCTACCAGAAAAGTGCTCATGCTGCAGGCTCTGCTGTATCGCTCCGGACGGGCTCTGAAAGCGTTCTCGCGCCACTTGCTGCCTGTCTTGCCTCATTGATCGGTCCCCAGTGATGATACTGTGCTGGGTGGGAGAGCGGCGTCGGGAGGGATCGTAGAGCTCGGCTCTTGCCACAGGGAGGGAGTAACAGTTTGATGCGCAGATTGTTAGCCAATGGCTGAGACAACCCAGTCCCAATGATCACATGAATTTGTGCAGGACATGTCAGCAGGATCATTTTTGCTCTGCTATCCATAACATGGTCTGACCCCGTGTCCCTCACCAGTCCAGACTCAAACTCTGCGGCCCATGCAACGTTCTCCAAATACCTCTGCTCCCGTCCGGTTTGACACAGTCTAGTCTGCCCATCAACCTGCGGTCTCGGAGAAATAGAGCCTCTGATGTCATCCTTCCCTAGGACAGCAGTCCTCTCGAGAGACTTAGGCGATTCTCGGGGAATCTAGGACCCGTAGATCGGAGAATTGCGTCTGACAAGCGGAAGACGGTGTGTATATTCCGTAGGTGACGCCTTCCTGCCACCCTAAGCCCAATTTCTAATTCGTACTTCAGAGCCAGTGTGGCTTGAGAGTAGGAAAGAGCAAGGAGAGGATTCGGGCTGTCATCTTCAACGGTTTCCGAGCTATCCTCCGACCTCCTTCTTCCACCACCGTCGGGCCAGCACTGACTCTTTCCAGCTACAGAGAATAGATAGACTAACTCCCATCTCCAATGGTAGACCCATCTCTGTCTGCCGCTAGAACCATCCGAAATCCTCCTAGAAAACCCGCCATAGGCCTTTCTCCGCGACCGCATTTCCACCGTCCGGTTTGCGATCAAATGTCTCACAACACGACCGCTCACCTCGCCCGTATAAGCATGTCTCACTTCTCTCGTGCTGCGCATTTTCCAGATTCGGAGGGACTACACCAAACGAACGTCACGACAAAAATCTCAACTTCCCACCACGTGTCTAGGTTGGACATTCCCGCTGTTGACCGCATATCTAGCCACACCACCGGGGAAGTATCGATATCTCCCCGTCACGAGGCGACCGGCGCTGTGCTTGGAAACGAGACCGACCACGAGATCGGTCGCCGTGGACATGTCACCTCCCGTGCTCGCCATACCAGACGCTCGTCCGGTCCTGCGTAGGCGTTCGCCATCAACTCATTCGTCGTTCCCTTGCCGTCGGGTTTCGGGAGACCACTTTCCGGGGAGGCGGAATGCTGAGCCGTACGAGGAGTCGGTGAATTGGCAGTCGAGCGATCTCGGGCTTCGATTGACTTGTGCCTGAAGCCCGTTTTATGACTGAGTCAGAGAATGAAGAGGATTTGAACATTGGGTACTGTATGTACCTAGCCGGTCGGTCCGTGGCCCAGTGCCCCTTGGCGAACTTGCGTGAGCGGAGCCGGTGAGCTTCTGATGACTAACAACGGTAAAGAGAGGCGATTGAATTTTGTTTCTGTAGGCGTCTGTGACGGTAGGATTGGTTGGTGACCGTAAGGGAAGTGTCTGCTGAAGGGTTGGAAGGTCTTTTGCCCGGGCGGGAAGACTTTTGCTGTCCCGCGATATGGTCTGCGTGCTGAGTGTTATGCTGGGGTACAATCCGTGCAATTGTCCACATTGACTGGAAGTATTCTCGCCCTCTATAGCTTGGAGATCGTAGAGGAGGCTCTCTAGTAGCTAGAAGGTGCTTCAAGGGATTTACTTGCCCAGGGCAAACGCTTCACATGCTGTTGACCGCGGCGGAGCCAGGGCCAAGAGGACCGGCCTTGTTCTATGACCTCTGCAAAGATAACTATCGTTGCCACTACTCTGCCCTTCAAACAAATGCCTACATGCACAACCCCTCTGCAGGATATCAATGCCATAACATGTGAGTTGCTCTAGATGACAAATCAATCCATCGGAAACCCCCTGAAATCCTTGACCCTTTCAAAAAAAAATAAAAAAACCCCCCTCTCACACAGAGAGAGGGTAAAAAAAAAAGAAAAGATCAGGGAACCCCACAGAATATCCTCGCCGCTTCCGTCTTGACTGGTGGTACTCTTTTTTAGTCAGTATATCGTTTCTGTTCTTCGTTCGGTAAATCCATACTGATGTTCATTTTCTAGTTTCGCCAGTGTGCGCCACACGTCGCTGCATGTTGATGGCTGGCGGATTGCCTTGAAACTGGATATTTGTGATCACATCCCTCTCGCGGTTGAATTTCTCGGATATCAGATTAGAGATGTATATCGCAAGGAACCATCCCAGGATTGAGAGCACGATCCCAAGAAGAAACTCAAGAGGATTCATTGTGTTTTTGGTTTGCAGCGTGACGCTAGGAACTGATCAGACAGAAAAGAAGTGGTTTGGAACTTGTAGATGGACTTTCCTTGTAGATAGCGATCAGGGAAGGGGACTTGTCACATTTTAAGCATGTTCTAACCGATCGATATTTTTGACGACTCCGTCCGGTAGTACCGCCCCGTAACAGTCGATCTGGCTACTAGCCATTTCTACGCATCAACAATACAGTCAAAGACACTTCACACAGCCACCACCGTGATGGAGGGGACAGACAAGACTCATATCGGGAGTCAAGTTATGCTTTCTGAGCTGGTCGTTGCAATCGACCTATGTGGGAATGAGAAGGGAAGGGAATCAATAAATCCTCCACACTGGCTGTGTCTTGAACTCAGAAATACGAATTCTAAACTGAAAATAAAAATGGATGAATAGGTAAATCAACCGTGATAGCTAGCAGCTCCTTGGGTGATGAAGACTTGTCGGCACTTGATGGAATGTCAGAGGAGGATAATCGACCGGATTAACTTGGAGTATCCAGCCTTCCCCATTCCGAGAAAGAATCCCTCAAGCTGAAAACAACACAGAGTGAGTAGGTGAGCCAAGCGCAATAACTACTTTAGCTTATTCGCTAGGTAGACTGCTCGAGGCTGGAGAGAAATTGATTGATCTGATTAAGTTGGGGCGCGGGGCGGCATTCAGCCTCCCGGATCCTAAAACAAAGGACTCAAGTATGTCCGCTCAGAGCAGTGAGCGATGCCACCGCATTGAACACCAACAAAGTTTGGTCCACCCAATCATCCACTATCCGTTCTGTACAAGCAACTGGACTGTACCTTTGTCACTTACGTGTGGCAAAGATGCCATTATCCTCTTTGCAGTCTGGTAAAATTAGATTCTTTCATCCCACCCAGGTATAAGACATGTGCACCGAGCACCCCAAGCGTCTTCACTTCTCCATCTCGTCTACCCAGCGATCGACCTCACACACTTCAACTGCCCAAGCCCCTCTCTTTCCGAGCCTACAGCCCAGGCGACATCCAGAACTGGCAAGCCTGATCCCACGAGGATGGAATTGTGGTGCTCAGATCCCGACGCCCAATTCGACCAGCAAAATTGGAGTAGGTGATTTCGTCATCTCATTCATCTAGCGAGCTGAATGGGGGTGGACATTCCAGGCTGATCATGCATCAATATGCAATAGAAACGTCCCACGACGAAGTGACCTACCTCGAGGGTTACAAGACTTCTACTCGAAAGGTTGCGTACGAAGCCAGATACAGCTCTAACGGCCACATTGCAGACCAAGGGACTCTTCGGACTACCTACATCGGCGTCATCTTTGCGTGTAACAAGAGTTTTCACCCATCATCCGGCATTGACAGTCAATTCTTCCTCGTCTGGGATGTTCCTGAGCCCCCGACGACGTCCGATGGTGAGAAGACGAAGGGGGCAGGGAAGGAAGGGTCACCGATCCGCCCCTTTCTCCACCAATGCACCGATTTATACATCGCCAGGTCCTTCCACGACCTCGTTAGGCTGGTGTATCCACACCTCGAAGTCATTTTCACAGCCGAGTTGCGTCGCCCCCGTCCCCAGACTCTGGACGCATATCTTGCTCGTACCCACCTTGCCTTCCAGATGCTGCCCGACCCGGAGAACGAGAACGCCGCGAGGGTCGAGCCCTGTCCGTGCCCATGTCCGGACCACAGCGCGTCGGTGGACTGGAATAAATTGATGGCGACGAGCCGTGCGCAGCAGGTCATGGAGGGGGTTCCTCTCTTTGCGTTCTCGGATGTCAAGGACTTTCGCGGCCTACACCATCACCGCGTGTTTGCAGTCACGATCAATGGGATCACCTTGCTCTACAAACCGGCCCGGAACAACGCCTGTCTGGTTGACGAGGCCGAAATGCTGAGGAAAGTGGCCGCGTTGCCGAGCGGAGGAGTCCTGCGCGTGCCCAAGCTCGAAGGGATCCTGGGGGCGGGTACGCCGTACGCGGGGATTATCATGACCTATATCCATCCGGGGACCCCGTTGTGGGATCTGGTCGAATCGGGGCGAGTGGAAGACCCAGCCGAGTGCCAGAAGTGGTTGGCTCAGATCTCGACCGCTGTTCGAGCCCTGCACCAGCATCGGTGTTATGTGCGAGACCTCCAGCCGGGCAATGTGGTGGTCGACGGCAACCGCGATGCTTGGCTGATCGACTTTGAAGGTATTCGGGGGCAAAGGGCCGAGGAATTTCCGGATGATGACCCCGAAACTGCAGACCTGCGTGACTTGGCCTATATGCAGGCGTATCTGGAGATGCACGGCCGGAAAGCACGCGAGGCAGCACGCCCTGGCCGCCGAGTCAGGATTTGGTTTGGTCGCTTGCGCAGGCGTCTGTCCGGTCCCTTCTTCCGCAAGCATTTCTTGGTTCCTTTCAGCCTCCTGGTCGCTCTTCTGCTCGTTCACTGCCTCGGCCTTTGGCCTGGCCTCTCTAGCCGCCTGTTCACCAACTTGCCCACGCTACTGTGCGCTCTCTTCTGCCTTCGCCTATCTGCTTTCCTGTTCAACCGGGTGTTCTGATCTGCTGATGTTTCTTGCCCCACCCGCGCCCCCCTCCCTCCACGCACCTCCTCTTCTTTGCTATCGTCTTTGCTCTTTCGGTTTTGGATGGATACGAAAACAACCCAATTGACAGAAAACCTGTACAAAGCGGCCGGGGGCCGCGGTCATAGTGCATGTAAGCCCGTTCCGCCCACATAGCACCCCTCTACCATTGCCTCTACAACGTTCAATGTCACGGTCATCTAGTACCGTGTGCACCTCGTAGGAATTTCGATCCTTACTCCAGCTCTGCCCACGGTGATTCCTGCGCGGGATGCCAAGAGCCCCTGTGGCTCCTGTGGCTGTGGAACAGCTTTTCCACCACTGCACTAGCCACAGGAGCCACCGGGGCTCTTGGCAATCGATGTGCCGGAGAGTCACCCTGTCCTTTCAGTATCTTCATGAGCCTTACCTACTCATATACAAAATGTCTACCTAGTATGTATTGATTCCTTACAGTCTGAATTCTGCAGCTGAGGGGACCTGCAGTCGTACTGCCGCCGCTCTCTCAAACCCCTCCGCTATCCGACGAACTACGGAGTACTGAGTAGGTAACTTGAAGATCCAGCCTGGAGCCCAGGTACACAGCCCACCAACCAATCAACCCCCACTAATCTCCGACCCACAACCCCACCACTCAAGCTGCATACAGAAAAAAACACCTCTCCCCGGACATATCCAACTCTTCTCCCCAACAACCACCTCCAACATCCCCACTCATCTATCCTATACCAAAATATCACCACCATCATCACCACAACCACAGACCCCAAAATGCCACCGCCACCACCACCACCACCACCACCACCTCCCTTCACAAAAACCTTCACCCACTCCCCGACCCTAGACCCGTACACCCTCCCCCTCCCAACCTTCCTCACCACCCCACACCACCCCCACCCCCACACCCTCACCCCAACCACGCACATCGTAACCGGCGCCTTAATCTTCGCCCCGAACCGTTCACCACCACCACCATCAACAACAACAACAACGACAACAATGCTCCCCACTCAACCCCCCGAAAAACAACGCATCCTCCTCCTCCGCCGCGCCCCAACCGACTCCTACCCGGGCCGGTGGGAAGCCCCTGGCGGCTCCTGCGACGCCACCGACGCCTCCGTCCTCGCCGGCGCGGCCCGCGAGGTGTACGAGGAGACGGGGCTGCGGGTCTCACGGTTCCGGGCGCTGGTCGGGGTGGATGCGTGGGAGGTGGTGCGGGGGGATGGGGTCCGGAAGGTGGTCAAGTTTACGTTTCTGGTGGAGGTGGAGCCTCCCTCCGTGACGCGATCGAGGGGCGAGGGGTTGCAGGGGGAGGAGGTTGATGGGCGGGTGGGGGTGGAGGGTCATGGTGATGGTGGCGGACGAGCCGGAGGGATCAGGCTCGAGCCCACCGAGCATGATGCGTTTGTGTGGGCGACGGAGGAGGAGGTGCTGGCCGGGGTGGTTTGGTGGCAGGGGGAGAGGGTGGGGATGGAGTTTGTGGGGAGGCAGCGGGAGAATTATCTTCGAGGGTTTGGGGTTGTGCGGTCTTTGCGGGGGGGTTTGTGAGTTGGTGGAATTTGGGAGGGGGGAGGGGGTGGGTAGTGATGGATGGATGTTTGGATTTGTGAAGGGGATGGATGGTTGTAGGTGCGCTTGGTTTGAGGGGTGTGGTTGGGGATATTGTCTTTACCCTAATCTGTGATGGAATGCTCGCCTGATGAGAAAATATAGGTCGATTGATATTTATACAGTAATTTAATGAAACAAGGAAACTATCTACTCGTTGTGTTCATCGACTTCGTCATGTCCCCTTCCACAAGGGCAATCGCGGCCCAAGATCGGTTCCTCCCAGTCCTCACCGACCCAATAGTCCTCCAAATCGATGTCATACTCCACCCAATCGTGGACCTCCCATTTTTCCCACACCGTTGTATCCTGCACTAGTCACTCCGACCGAGTGGTGTTCGTCGTCTCGAACAGCACGCGCTTGTAGGTCGTCAGCGGGATCGCGCCGTGGTCGGTGACCTCCAAGACGAGGTGGAGGGTCCAGCAGCCGGAGGCGTTGGAGCTCTTGCCGTCGCAAACCACATCCGCGCCGGGAATCGTGACCTGTGCGCGCTGTCCGTTCCCAGAAACTGTGAAGTTCAACGTCGGGATCTGGTTGTCCACGTTCCAATCCGTCGAGCCGGGCTCCTTGTACTGGAACCACCGGAACGAGAGGCTGTCACGGTCGGGATCGTAAGTCCCGGACGCATCCAGCGTCACGGTCGCATTGGGCGTCGAGGCGATGACCAGCGGGGTGAGGTCGGCATGCTCGTTGACCATGACCACGGGGTGGTGGTTGGCCTTGCTCTCGTTGGCGGGGAGGGCCCACTGCATGCGGGCGGCAAAGTCATTCTGATACGCGTCTCTCCACCGCCAGATAGCCGCGTGGTTGGAGGTGTAGGTCCGGTTGTTCTGGCCGATGACCCGGTCGGCGGCGTCGCTGTACTGCCGGTACTTCACCTGCTGCGAGAGATCCACCAGGGAGTAGCGGCCGCCCCAGGACCCGTAGTCGGGCTGCTCGCGCACGCCCAGACCGTTCTGGATGAGATACAAGAACGTCGGGGTGTCCCCCTCCATGATGAACTTGTAGTCCGGGTACTCCTTGCCGTAGGTCCCGATCTGGATGTTCTTCTTCAGCCAGGCGGCGGACACCTTGGTGAAGTCCGGGCCACCGACGTCGAAATTGTAGTATTCCTCGCCGGAGATGGCGGCCCAGGCGGCCAGGCCGTACTGGTTCCAGCCGTGCATGGAGGCGATGTAGAAGATGTCAGGGAATTGCTCCCGGATCCACAGACCGCTGTCGTCCTGGTCGGAGATGGTGTAGACGCGCAGCTGGCCGCGGAGACGGGCCGCCTCGGTCGCGTTGAAGTTGTGCTGGATGTAGTACAGGGTCTCGGCAAGCACGTTCACCCCGCCCCACCCGAGGACCCACAGGGGTTCATCGACCGGTTGGCGGAGTCGGTTCAGCAGCAGCTCTGCGCCGGAACTGAGGTTTTGGCCGGGACCAACGCCTTGCATTCCGTAAACCTGGATTTGATTAGTGGGGTTCGTGTAACGACGGATGGAATGCTTACAGCTGGGCCGGACTTGACAACACTGTGGAGGTACTCCGCTGAGGGGTATGGGGAGGACGGTGAAGTGTGCTGGTTCAGGTTGTCCACCACCTCGGCATATGCATCGACCACTGCCGAAATCTGCTCGGGATACACACTGTCTTTCAGCCAGGTGGAAGTGACGGCCGTCATGCCTTCGATCTGGAACTGATTGCTGTAGAGCAGGAATCGCACAAAGGATTCTGTGTCATCGGGCTCATTGGAGATGTCCGAGAGAACGAAGACGCGGGGCTTGGACGCATAGGTCAGAAGCGAGGAGCGGTTAACGGCCGTAGTGGCGTCTGCCACAAGGGCATTCAGACAACCAAGCAGCAGCAGAGAGAGTCGTCTCATGATTGCAACGTATTCAAGAGATGTGACTTTGGAGAAGAAGCAGCGATCAAAAGTCCCAGTGAGAAGGTGGGAGCCAGGCCGGTTTATATGGGAGTTGCGGGGACGGCAGAGAACAAGTTCTTGGCAGTTGAGAAGGACAGATGGCGATGAGTCGAACTGATGATGTTATTGCCCGTTGTATAGGGACACTGAGCCTGGGGTATCCACCGCCTTGCCGGATTGAGCCAAGCCGCAGCCGAGCCGACCGACGGAGGCGAGTTTTCGGCTCCAGCCCAGTCTCCGCACTCCGCAACTTCCCTCGTCTGCCTTGCCGTTTCTGCCGGTTCTGCCGGTTCTGCCCATTTTCCCCGACTCTTTCGGCTGGGTGTGGGGTAGTCCCCCCATAACAGGTAGTTCTAACCCCCAGCCAGCGGTTGCAATTACCCCATTAACTCGGCACAGCGAGAGCTCGGAGACGATTCTCCACGGGGTTCTTCCCACTCGTACGGGTATGACCCTGATTTCCAACAGTTTCGCTCTCCATAATTGCACTCATGCAAGGCAGGAAACTTCCTTCCATTTCCACAACAAAAGTTGGCCCCCCCCGTTACCGCTATGACGCGATGAGCCCCAGTACAGAATTCGCACATAAACCACCAGCCACGGGTGCCCGTCACTGCAGACATTCTCTGCCTCGATCCGCAAAACCCGCGTCAGTGAAAGCGAGCTGTCTCCGGTCGGCGAGAAACGGCTTGTCGTGGGTTCCGCAACATAGCACCAAAATCTACACCTCCCCAGTTCCAAGGCTCATCAAGGAGAACACAAGTGTACCTTTTCATCAGCACGGCCTGATTTTACGGCGGTTCCAATGCCCAAGATTGAGTATGCCTTGGGCATCAAGCGCACCCTGGTCGTGCATCGTCAAGGTCATCGGTATCCCGAAGTCTCCCGCAACCACGCGAGATTTTCCGTCAAAGGCGTTCCGACAACACCGGTAGCGGAGAAGGCGGGCGGGACCCTGCATAAGGTCGTACGGCGGCACGGAAGACGTATTCGTATCTCTCCCCAGAATGGGAATAGATCATAAAGTCACTGATGAAACTCAAGGGATGGCCTCAAAAGTCTCGTGTCAGACGCTTGGCCATGCATGGAAACAGTATTGGTCATGGGCCTTGGACCTCAGATTCGACAGAACGTGAGGTGAGGCCTGGCTGCAGAGCAGGGTGCTGTTATCACCACGGTAATTGTTGTCCTCGGTGGTGCCGAAACATCGGGTGAGGGTTTCTTGGCAAGCGTGTTATTCTTGGCAAGGTTGGTGAGACTGATCTCAATCTCTCCTGGCTGTCGGAAGTGGTGTTCTGTACCGGCTGCTCGTGTTGCATGGTTGTTTGGTGGTCGGGATGTGGATGAATGCTGTAGGGGCCCAAGCGTACTTATAAGCTGAAAAGAAAAGAAAGAGGAAGAGGAGTACTGAGCAAAGCTAGGGAGGGCGAGCTAGGTGAGAAGCAGACTGCAAGGAAGTCGTAGGTGTGAAAGAGATTAGACGACAGTATAACGGTAGCAGCATGGTGGGTGGGTGTAGCGGTGCTGACAGTAGTTATACCTACGAGCAGCTTGCTGGTACTAATTAAGACTTTCCAGTCTTTCCGTTTCAGAACGCAACCTTCCCGCATGGTTCAAGGGTCATCTCTAAGCCGGTTCCATTCAGGCAGGCTTGGCAGAGTGGACGGTCGGGCTCGGGGGTACAACGTCGTGTACGTGACAACGTGGGCATATATAACACACACTCCTGCATTCAAGTACTTAAAGTTGCCCCCCTTCTCTTGTCCACTATGTGGTTTAACTCTGAAACCATCAGTTCACCTTCGATGACATCTGAACTCAAAACCATACTCAAACACGGCCGCCACTTAGACCTAAGTAGTGGCTCCTCTGTGTCCAAGCACTCCTTTATTTTCGTTGGGATGGGTCAATCCTTCAAGATCAGGTGCCTGAACCACGGAGTACATTTCGCCCAGTTATAACACGATTGCTCACCAAGCACCATGCGCCCTCGGGCCTGATTCATCGATGATAAGTTAGTCACGCAATTTCTTCGGCCCTCGGGAGCGTCCGCAGTACTTCCCTCCAGCACGTGGCTGTGATAGGCGATGCCACCATATCATTCTATGGCACCGCACCATGGATCTACAGGAAAATGTTGATCTTAGGCCAATGATCATCCCGACCCAGATGGACGAGGTTTGAATACCATGCACATTCCCAGTCAATGACAAAACTCATGATGTTCTTGCAGTGTCCCTGTGTTGCTGTTCTATCATATTTTGCAAGTCTCGAAACCAATCTAAGCACTAAAACCCCGGTCGCATCTGTCTCAAAAGGACTGGAGTCCCTGCACTAAGCCAAGGGTCTCGTTTTTGGGTTTCCAGCGGCCGGTTGTTTTTCGTCTCGGCTGAACTCCGGAGTTTCACGAACCCTACCGTTTCATGGTTCAGGGCTCGAACGTTGATCTCCGCCTCAAACTCAATTTAGGTTCTTTGAGCTCCATTCCCCTTCGATGAAGCGCCAATGTCTCCACATCCATCGGGAAACTAACCCGCTTCGAGTCTCGATCAGGGTCCGGACCCTGCCGCTTTGGTTTTCTCGTCCGTGCATCTGAAACAACTCCCTCCAACAGGGAACGCCTTCCAGACTTCCGTCAGAAAATGTTTCACCACGTCCCAATTTTGCGACATCTTTACTTTTGCGTGCCAAAGGGATGTGATGTGTCAGTATGATCGATAACAGCTGAATCACTTCCGCAATGCCGAGGTAGCCGGCCGTTGCTGCCTGGGAATAACAGTATATATCCATCCTGGTTCTCCCAGACTTTGACGGGTAAAGCAGACGAGGCAGCAGCGCAATTCTATCATATTCACTCTTTCGTTACAGTCTATCGATACACTCTTTCACTTACCATCCTCTCGTTCAACCATAACTTGTATCTCATTGGAATAATGGCCCCTCTCAAGTCCCTCCTCGTTGGTGCCCTTGCTACGCTGGCCGTAGCAAGCCCCGTCCCTGCCCCTGCCCCGGAGGCCGGCCAACTCCAAACCCGTCAGTTCATGGACTCGAATGATCTCACGTCCGGCTCCTGCAAGGACGTCACCCTGGTCTTTGCTCGTGGCTCCACGGAATTGGGTAACATGGTAAGTAGCGTCCTGCCCCTTAGATCCTGCTCTTCCTCCCTCCTTCGCACTCTACAACGCATCCCCAGAAGCTGACCCACAAAACAGGGTTCCGTCATCGGACCTCCCCTCTGCACCGCCCTGAAGTCCAAGCTTGGCGCCGACAAGGTCGCCTGCCAGGGTGTCGGCGGCCTCTACACCGCCGGACTGATGCAGAATGCCCTGCCGCAGAACACCGATCCGGGGGCCATCTCCGCGGCCAAGAGCATCTTCGAGCAGGCGGCTTCCAAGTGTCCGAACACGAAGATCGTGGCTGGTGGATACAGGTATGCATCTCCCCGGTTCTTGGCGATCTTCTGAATCAAGACACGCACCCTCCTGCGAACCTAGAGTCCGACATGGCTAATATCCCCGGTCAAACAGTCAAGGAAGCGCCGTCATCGACAACGCGGTGCAGGCGGTCAGCTCCTCCGTGCGCGACCAGATCAAGGGCGTGGTGCTGTTCGGGTTCACCCGCAACGTCCAGGACCACGGCCAGATCCCCAACTACCCCAAGGACGATGTCAAGGTGTACTGCGCGATGGGCGATCTGGTCTGCGACGCGACGCTGATCGTGACGGCCGCGCATCTGACCTACGGGCTGGATGCCGGCGATGCGGCGAACTTCTTGGCGTCTAAGGTCAACGCTTGAGTACGTCGTTGGGGTCACAACGATCAGGAACCATCGGTGAGGTCGGGTGGTGGTCGATGGAGGATGATTTACGGGCTTTTATATATGAATCTTTTTTTCGGCTTTTGTATTTTCGCTGGCGATTTTCAGGATTGTCATGGACACTTCGATGTTTTGTCTCACGGGTATATTATACATTTCTTCATCATTTCGTCAAACCCATGGTGATGTGTTTGGGCAGTAGATGTGGCGTAGGTTCTATACTGTGGAACATGTCAATCAGAGCAATCTAATGAGTGCAGGTTGTTGATAGGTTTTGGCCCAGATTTGTAATCTTTTGTTCCCGATCAAGAATCAATTTACCTGCCGCCACTGTATACGGATTCGTCTCGTCAAGGATTCGGAATACTGATATTGATAGATGTCTTTTCACCAAAACCAGAAAAGACTCCTTCTTTCCAACAGAGACTCATATATCCTACGGTAACTATCATAGTTTTGGATGAGGAAGATAGGTCTGTGCCGAGAACTTGAGTAATCGCATTCTGTTTGGGCTTCTCCAGGCTCTCTCCGCAAAGAGCCGGAAATAACGCTCCGGAGCGGAGTTAAACTTCCGTGCCCGCGGCGTTTTGAGAACCCGGGATGACACGAGGGTCCGTGGCTCTTGATTGGACTATTTGACTCACCGCCCGTGGGTCTCCGCAATAGCACTCAGATGGATGCCCTAGGCTCCGATGCCAGGTGCCCACAGTGGTGTGTCCGTGCGCGTCATCGTTCGAAAACATTTACGAGATCGTGAACCAACCCATATATCCACCGGGAGCTCGTGCTTTTCAGCTGATCACCGGAGTCATACGATATTGTAGACCAAATCAAGAGCCGCGAGGGACCAAAAGAGATTAGCAGGTGCTGTAAAAGGGTATTGATCGGTTGATGGGCGATCGGCGGATATAGGTCCCGCTCTGGAGATAAAGCGGAAGTACTCCTGTAGACGAGTGTCATCAGCCAGCGATAGCACCTGTCCGTTCCAGGTCAACCCGCAACTAAATACGGCTCTGGGGGTGAGGCTGGACCTTGGAATGTCATCCGGGGTTATGTGGTCTAGTGGTTCTGGGACTGTGTGTTCTATGGTTGGGCACTATACACTGTGGAGTTAAGCGGGAATAGAGGTGTCATCAACCAGGAACTCTAAAGCCCGGGTGGTCAACCATACAGTTGGGTCTGCCCAAGCACGGTATAAAATCGAACGTAGATTCCTGGCTTGAGGGTTTTAAAATACGTCTTTCGCATATTCAATATTCTGTACATCCTCATCAACAGCCATCGACCCTCCAACAACCAATCTACCACCCTTGACCGCAACCATGACCTCCAAATACGCCGCTGCCCATGCATCGCCCAACGGCCCAGGCGACGCCCGCCCCACGGCGCAGACCATCATCGACGACCAACACCTCCGCGACAAGCTCACGGGCAAAACCATTCTGATCACGGGCTGCTCCTCGGGGATCGGCGTGGAGACCGCGCGCGCCCTGCACACGACCGGCGCGACGCTCTACCTGACGGTGCGCGACCCCGCGAAAGCGACCAAGAATCTGGGCGACATCGCCACCAGCCCCCGGGTGCATCTCCTGCACCTGGACCTCGACTCGCTGGACTCCGTGCGCGCCTGCGCGGCAGACCTGCAGTCGCGCACCAGCGCCCTGCACATCCTGATCGCGAACGCGGGCGTGATGGCGTGCCCCGAGGGCCGGACGGCGGACGGACTCGAGGTGCAGTTCGGCAGCAACTACGTGGCCCACTTCCTGCTGTTCCAGCTGCTGAAGCCGCTGCTGCTGGCGTCGTCGACGCCCGCGTTCCACTCGCGCGTTGTCATGGTGTCGTCCGTGGGCCATCGGTTCGGCAACGTCCACCTCGACAATCTGAACTTGGAGGGCGGGGAGTACGAGCCCTGGAAGGCGTACGGGCAGAGCAAGACCGCTGTGGTCTGGCTGGCCAATGAGATCGAGCGGCGGTACGGGGCCCAGGGCCTCCATGGTCTCAGTCTGCACCCCGGCGGCATCCAGACCGACCTGGCGCGCCACATGTCCGAGGACCAGATTGCGGCGTGGAATGCCGATCGCGAGTTCATGCGCCACTTCAAGAGTCCCGCCCAGGGCGCCGCCACGACCGTTGTGGCGGCTGTCGCGGCGGAGCTGGAGGGACAGGGTGGGAAATATCTGGATAATTGCCAGGTGGTGACGGATGAGCACGACCCGGCTAGCGGGAGGTGGGGCCCTGGGTATGCGTCCTGGGCGTTTGATGTGGATGGGCAGAAGAAACTGTGGGAGAAGACGATGGATATCCTTCAGCTGCAGGATGAGTGAGTGGTACGGTACTCGGGCTAATCATCGTGATTTGTTGATTGCTGTGGGGGTTTACTGTTGTCGCACCAAAGACCATCTTCGGATATGAGATATTGCTGTTTATGTTGGAAGCGGAAGCAAGTTATCGCAATTTGTTTGATATAGTATAGCCAAGATAATGTATAATCTAGTTGCTGTTCTGACTGTGACATCTTTCCTTTTGGCTTTGTAGCAGGAACTACGCGATGTGAATGGGTGCCATTATTCGAAAGATTTCGGCTTTTCCAAGCAACGGTTCCGCTCAGTTCCACTTAGCTTCAGTTAATACCTGTGGCTCATTCGGGCCGGTGCACGTAAATTCCATTGAGATAAATACAAATACACATGTGGACGTTCTTGAAATATCGATTGCACGCAGTGAGAGTGCACAGTTCATTCCAGGAAGTGTACTACTGGGTCAAAAATCGAGGTAATTCCTGAGACTCAAGTTGATTTCATGCGATGACGCAATAGAATTCATGACAGCGCTTAGAAGATCTAGAACAGTGACTTGAGATCACTTGAGCTTAATCACTTGCATTGGTGTTGACAGCAAGTGTATGTGTAACTCAAAGCAGGCAATCTATGCATTAGCTGAGTGATATCGCCAGCCGCCAATCGGTAAGCCCGGGTTCCACGCGAGTACGACAGGTCGGATTGTCAGCAGCCTGCATCAGTGTTAACTTTATTCCAACAAGTAACACCACACCACGTCTACTTGGTCCCTCCTCAACCCAACTTCCCCACCGCCCACCATGCGTCTGGCGCTCACATCCCCACGGCTATCTCAACTGCCACGGCTGAGCTCAGCCATTGCTCCCCTATCATGTGTTCGATATCTAAGCAGAATGGGTAGAAATGATCTGATCGAAGAGCAAACTTTACCGTACTACCATCAGAAGCGATACTATCCAGTCCGCATCGGTGACACCTTCAAGGATCAGTATCGGATCATTGCTAAGCTTGGCTACGGCGCGTATTTCACCGTGTGGCCCGCTTGGGATGAAGGGTTTCTGGGCACGAAGCCCCAACATTGGCCCTTCATCGGCCCACACCAGAAGGCCGGCAGCCACGCGACAATCAGCTTAGGCATCAGGTGCCCAGTCACACAACTCACGCAGCTCCTTCATCGACCCCCTTTGCACCCGCCCACCTCCGCTGCCGAAAAGCTTGATGTGATAATGGCGCGCGGCCTCCGGTCATCCGCGCTGCTAGGCATCTGGGCCGTGGCATTAGCTGCCTGGGGCACCAACACGACTGCATTCTCCTCCGGAGTGAACAAGAAACCAATCTTTGGTTTTTGGGCTCGTCGCAGCGAAAGTCTCCCTGGCCTCCATACTGCTGACGCAGCCGAGTGCGCATGAGGTGGTTGGTAGAGTCTAATACTACCGGCAGTGTTCGTGCTTGCAGTGTCAGCCTGACCACCGCTGCAGGCTCTATCCTTCCATTTCTAGCACCGTGCCTACCTAATTGAATGTTGACTCAATCCTATCTAGTAACTACCTACCGTTGACTCAGTTCCCACTACATCGGTCCAGTCAGTTCGCTCAAATCACCCATCCTTAACAACTTTGAGATAACCAAAATATTTTTCCGTCCCAAATCTGACTCTTTCCGCCATCCACTCACTCATCAGCCAACCTCGCCTCCCTACCCAAATCTACCCAGGATGGCAGCAGTCTCCTCGCCCGAGCAAAACATGATCCGCAGCTACGTGACAATCAGCCTGCTCATCATGAGTCTCACGATGCGTCTCGCGCAGCTCCTCCACACCCACGCCACAGTCGGTCTCAATGTTCCGCTTGTGCTACTTCCCGCATTGTCCTTGCTCGTTACATGGATCGGATCCTTGATAGTCTTCGGTGGTGGCAATCTAGCTCCGCTCTCCAGCCCGACCAGAAGTCGATCGCTTATTCTTGCGCTCGCGGCGGCGGACCTCGCGCTGGCCTACTTGAACGCCCGACAGCCTAATGCGTCGGCGCTGGCCTATATCTCCTGTATTGTGTCGTTGTTTCAGTTGGGGCTGGACTTGGGACTGTTCATTTGGATAAGGGACTGAATCTGTACCGGCGGGTGGACTGTATGCGATGAGAGGGGTTGCCCTTGGCGCTTATATACTGAACGGAGTTTTGCTTTGCTTCTACATATACGCTAAAATGAGGAAGTGTTTCAAGGGCGCGTGGGCGCAACTTAGCTAGGCCGGATGGATCTATGGAGGAAGTTGTTCATTCAGAGAATATTTCCGTCTGTTGGTGTGTGTTCTTTTTTGTCTCTTTTTGCATGTTTCCTCTTCCTCTTTCTGAAGGCGTCAAGAATCCTTAAGAATAGGTTAGTCTAGGTGTACTTGCTATCAGTATGATGCTCTCTTCTGTCCAAACAACCAACCCAAAATGTGAAGCATCTGTCGAGCCATACACCTGGACAGAACTATTACGTCCTACCGACCTCACAAGCGCCCCTTAACCACCCCCAGCCCCGCCACACGCGACCCATCCCTCGTCCGCATCACCCCGAACATCACCTCGAACTCCCTCAGTTTATCCGGCACATTCCGGCCCGTGGTTCCGGTTGTCGTGGCGTTGAACACGGCGAAACGGTCGTTCGACGCCGGCACCATGGCGAAATCGTCGTAGAGGCCTGAGCTGTTCAGTGTGCCGCCATCGAAGGTTACTATGCACCGTGTAGACGGCCTCGTGCGCGCGCGACACGAGATGCTCTGTTACGTGCCTCCCGTTGTGGGGCCCATCCAGCGCGGCGCGAAGTCGAATGTGTATTTGGTGCTCTTCGTGCGCGCACGGTAGTTCGGTGAGGCGAGGTAAATGTAGGCGTTTGTCCATGTTAGGCTCTGCTTGTAGGTTTTGTTGACCCAGGTGTAGAGGTTCGGAGCGTCGGTGGATGTGCATGCGAGGCGGGAGCTGGGGATATTTGGATTGTGCATGAGCAGTTCGAGGAGCAGGGGGAGCTGCTGCGCAGGTAGTCGCCTGCCATCAGGCAATGTCGCGCGAGGCGGGTGTGGGGCGAGGCAAGTTAGAGAGAATGAAAATGGGGAAGGAGTCGACGAACTGGCAATGGGTTGAATAAGGGCACACGGGGCTTGAAAACCAAGCCAACCTATACGAAGCCCACAGACGCTAGAAACCAATTCCTTGGGGCAACCATCCGGTGCGTGACTGAAGCATATATGAGGCAGATGAGCAAGCCTTCCTTCCAATCTCCTGTTGATCGTATGTGCCTTTTTTTGCAAGACAGCTATGCGGCTGTGCAGGGTCCATTCTCGAACCGAGCAATCCAATTGAATCATCGCTCCTCTACGGGATGTTTAAATATGGATCTCTGCAGGGCATGGTTCAGGTTGCTGACAACGCACGCTATAAGTAATTGGCATAATGCAGATAAAGGCTGCGAAACGGGGGCTGAGTTGAAGTGTGCGGATCCACCCATACTGTCACCGCCTATCTGCGGGTATCGTGAAGAGCACAGACAGCCAATGGAATGAAAATGCTCAGATAACAGACTTGAACGTTCCTGCAGGATCGGAGGCTGAAAGTGGGGACGAATTTACAAGGAGGATTTCCGTGGGTTCTATACCAAGCTGCACGCTAGTCTAAATAAGGCAAGCCATGTGTGAAGAAGAATATCAAGACCTCATCGAGACTCTCGACAATACAAGGACTTTTCGCCTAGAAGAAGACCGTCGATTCCTCCCCTCGATTGTCTAGATCGAACTCATAGCGTAGCAATAGTAGTAGCAAGCCTAACTTCCTCAACATTCAAGAAAGCAACTATTCTCAAACCCTCAAATCCAATCCATCAAGGTAGAACCCTCATATTTTCGTCCTTCTCCCATTCCACCAGCACAAAGACCTAACTGAAAACAATACAGCAGCGAAATGATGTTCCCCAGCACCATTGCCTCCCTCTTCTCCACCGCGCTCGCCATGCTTACCCCCCTCGCCGCCGTCAAAGGCTGCTACAGCGGCGGAGAGTCGTACAGCTCTGTCGCCACCGGCCACGAAATCCTCGAGGAGGCGGTAAATGCCTGCGACATCCTCGAGGGCATCTACGTCTCTGGCGCCGGCCCTCCCCACTGCAGCAATTTCCAGTCGGGCAACCGCGTCAACTGGGAGGTGACCAACGAATCCGGCTCGAAGGCCATTCTTTCCACCATCGACTGCGTCGCTGCCTTGAGAACCGAGATTGAGGCCTGTCCGCGCGGCAGTCTGCAGACTTACGGTCCCTTCTTGTTTAAATACGACCCCAACGGGGGCGCTTGCTAGAGGGTTGGCTGAGTTGTGCATCAGAGCGAAGCGGATCGTGTTCGGGCGGGTGTAAATCGTCGATGCGGTGGATGGGTGGTGATGGTCTAGCGGATGGCGAAGATGAGGCGATTGAGTTGATGAGTTGATGACGGAGATGAGATGGATGTGTTTACATGTATGCACTTGATATCATTCTTGCACAGTCTCATTGTGAGTTTGGCCTTTTGTCTCTCTGCTTGAAGTTCGCTCGTGGGGACTCTCAAGCCGAACTCAACATGGATGCTTTTTTTCTGCCAGTTCTCGGTTTGTAAGACCGTAAATCCCGCCAATGTGATCTGGCCTAAATCCACGGTCCACCTCTAATTCCGTGCCTTTCACGATGCACATGTTGCTAAGCCTGAGTCAAAAGTGGAAAGTTCTGTTGATGTTCATGGCTTTCATACCTCGTCGAATTCTACATAATTAGACGCCGTACTATGTCTGGGATACAAGATTGCTGCACCAGCATGCCTTCGTCTCTCGACAGTAACCGACAGCAACCAGCCTTAATAAAAGTCTCTGCTCTAGCTGGAGAAGCTGCATAAGCAAGACAACCACGGTACAATAACATAGCAATCCATAGGCCTCGTGCACTCATCCCGTGAGACCATGATCTCATCCCTCCCAAGCTTGTGCTGTCCACCTCTCCTCGGGCCAGCTTCGTGGGCGATCCCCGGTTGTCTTCACTTGAATGTAAGTTCTTACTGCGTCATACTTAAACCGGATTAGGAATAAGTATACGTGCTTCTGCTCGCCTTCCATAATCCTTGGTTAGGTTAGATGTCAACAGCAATACATTCCAAGATAGCAAGTAGGTTCAATCTAATATCAAGCTAGCCTGATCCATCTTCCCACTCTCAAGAGCTCGTCCTCTGCTCGACTCGAACAAGAAGCGGCGCCCGTCTCCATACCTCCCATGCTTTCTGGCCGGATAACCACTCGTTAACATCGAGCTCGGAGCTGATGTCGAAATGCCAGAGGAGGCTGCACATCAACAGCCGCAACGTGTAATATGTCATACTTCGGCCACAGGTTAAGTCAGCATGAGATCAATTATCAATGTGGCCATTGTGAAAGGAGAGCGTGAGAGGGAAGAAACATGAAAAGACACTCACTCTTGTCCAATACAGGACCTCTTTCCGACGGAGAAGGGCTGCAGCGCGGCTCGACAATCACCGGCATACAATCCGTGCGGATCCTCAAGCCACCGATCTGGCTCAAATCGATCCGCGTTGTGGAAATACTCGCTCGCATTCGACGTGGCGTACATAGATACATACACCCGAGTGCCGCCTGGGACCCACCGACCGGCGACGAGGATGCCTCCGGGGCCGACAACGCGAGGCAGGATCTCTGGCACCGGATTGTATCTCCGAAAGGCTTCTTTAATGCACGCATCCAGGTATTTCAGTTTGCGGACGTCGGCGATCGAGATGAAACTCGGATCGGAGATTGTCGCGCGCACCTCGGCCGTCAGGCGCTGAAGGACGTTGTGGTGGCGCAGGAGGTCCGCGACAAGACTACTCAGAAGGCAAGAGATGGTCTCCGTGCCGGCGAGCATCAATATAGGGGTATTCAGCGTCACCTCCTCCTCCGAGATACGGTCCGCCTTCGGGAGGGACGTGGCGAAAGCCACCAGGTCGGGATCATGGACGTCTTTGTGGAGGCGTTGACGCATGAGCTGGTTCGCGAAATCAAAGTATCTCTTTCTTGGCTTCTGAATAGCCGCACGGAGAAGCCATTGGTATATGCCCTTGACGATCGGAAATTCAGTGAGCGCAGCTGCGGTCACCGAAGCGCGAATCCAACCTGGCTGGCCCCTCGCCCAGTCAATGCAGCCAGACTTTTCGAGCAGTTGGAGGGATTGGCCAAAGAGAAGATGACCCATCACGTCGAAGACCGTGAAGCTGAACAGTTCAGCAATGTCAAATGCATTCTGCTCCGTTGTTTCGAGCCGCCGAACCAAAAGAGCGCAATACTTATTGAATAGTGGCTCGAAGGCTGTCAGATTCTGTCTCGCAAAGAATTGTGCGAAAACCCGCCGGAATCGGGCATGAGTGTCTTCGTCCGCGGTCAGGATTGTGGCTTTGTCATTCTCGAATGCGGCGAACACGATATCATCATTGAGTAAGTGTCCATTCGCATGAGCACCCCCGTAGATGTCTCTCACGGCTTCGTGCTTCATGTAGCTCAGCTCATTCGGCGCCACCCGGACAACGGGTCCGTATCGCTGGTGTAGGTTTTGCAGCCAGACGGACTTCTGCCCGGTGATGGTGACATACGTGATGCGGGCTCGGCTGGCAGCGGCCGTTGTAGGCCCGGGGTAAGCCTTCAGTGGGTGCCAAAGTACATTATAGAGCAATTGGAGAATGATCAGCTTTCAGGATTAGAATGAGCACCATTTTAGTAAGGTTGTGGGGTTATTGCCATACAATTCCCAAAGCCAGTAGAGCAATCAGGATCATACTTATCAGGGGTGCGAAGGCAGCCGCTGAAACGGATGCACTGCGATAGCTGCAAATGATTGATCAGTTGTTGAAGATAATAGTAAGAGCAGGAAAAACCTCGTCTGAGAATATCACTGAAACTAAACGGTAGTGAGCAGATCAACGAGTAGCCGGCCCACATATAAGACAATTGGTGGCAAGGGCTCTGCTAAGGGACGCATCTGATGTGTATAGGAGACTAGCCCTGACAGGATATTGGTCACACTTGCAAAGAGATACGCTGTTTCTCTGAACCCCATGCAAAGTGTAGATGATCTAAGAACCCACATTGATTTCGGAGAAGGCTGGCAGCTGCAGTATAATGTCAGCGGAATGCCAGAGAATGTAAGGAATAGACAGATGAAGTTCGTCACAAGACTATTCACCATACACAAATTACAATGAGACTGAGTAGAGAAAACACGACCATTTTCACAGCATGCAGCTGGCTGCTGCGCAAGAATCAAAAGAGTAATCTCTGAGAGTTGCCATAGTCGAGGGACATCTCCGAACTCAGGTTTTGTTTCATAACAGAATAGCGGTGACAGAATCGTCGATGAAAAGTATAGGGTCCGATTTGTACTGCAAACACATCGAGTATTCTTGCTATGTTGTTACACAAGAATTCTCACGGGCTATGCTTATCCAAACTTGGAAGCAAGTTACGTCACTGCTTCCCATGGTTTTCAGTAAATTGTTATACATATTTGGTATACCAGGTTAAGCAGATCACCGGGCAAGCACTTTCTGATAGTTTACTACCCTGAGTCCAATGCTTACAAGCATCAGCCAGTCCCAAACGACTAGTTTCTCCTGTTATGTTAAACCTAGAGACTCCAAGGATCTGCGTGAACCTTTCACAGACCATGCATGCAAGGAGTCAGCGGGTACATGAGCGGAAGAGGTTCTCACATAGGCCGGATTGTGAACTCAGTTGGATGGCAGTATACTAGCTGCAGGAATATCCGGAAATGTACAAATGTAAAAAGCTCCAGCATCAGCATGGTACCATCTATAAATGATTCCGCGTTCGTTCTACTACTCCGGTGTTTTGAGTTCAAGATATCTATCGTCGAACAGAGACCCGGATCTTTCTTTCGCGGTTGCCCTGATACCAGACCCTTCAAAATATGAGCAGCAATACGAGAATCAATATCCCCTTTAGACTTGCCACCAACGCAGATTTGGCTCGGGCAAAGGCAAATCATTCACAATGGGTCGAAACGGCAGGGCTACACGGCGATTCAGCAGCCCAGAAAACGTACGAGGCTGCAGACTTTCCTTTTTTGGTGGCCTACACGTACCCATCAGTTCACGGACCTCATCTGGATCTGATAATGAATCTAATTGGCTGGTCCTTTTTACTGGACGACTCACTCGACAGACCAGGCATTCGACAAGCCTCCCCGGCGGCCACTGAACATACCCTGAACACTTATCGCAAGATACTGGATGGCAACCGTGCCGAGCCATCCGCGGATCCTCTGGTGACAGCTTGGAAGAGTCTTCTGCTGTGTGTCCATGAGCGTTCGTCCGAAGACCTGAAGGCCCGGCACCGCAGGCATTGGGAAGACTTGTTCGACGCCTTCCACCGTGAAGCGAAGAACAATGCCGGCGGTATAGTCCCCACCTTCCCGGAGTATCTGGAGCTGCGGCGAGCCGCAGGAGGGGTGGAGATTTGCCTGGACTGGGCGGAGGCAGTCGGCGACTTCGAGGTTCCAAGCAGCGTGCACAGCAGCCCGGACTTCCTTCGTCTCCGAGAATATACCGACGATGTGGTTACGATGAAGAATGACATTTTCTCGGTCCAGAAGAAGGCGCAGGCCGGCAACACCGACAATGCGGTGCTGGTACTTGCCCTGCAAGAGCAATATTTCTGGGAAAGGGCCACAGAGCTCACCCATAAGCTGATCGAACAGGATGTGGCTCAATACCAGACCACAGAGGCCAGGTTCCTGGAAAGTGGGTGCTTTGCCCAACTCGCTCTGCACGAGCAGTCGAATGTGCACCGGTTCCTGGATGCAATGAAGCATTGGATGCGCGGCAGTTTCGAATGGCATCGGAACAATCCTCGGTACAAATGAGGGTTCTCCTCCTGCAGTTTACCAGAGTGCGCACAACCTCGTATCCCTACATACACAAGCATCGTCATATGGATAAATAAATGTAAGTTTATCCCTGCAAGTATGATTACGCATACGGCAAGTAACTTTTGAGGAATGCCAATAGACCGAATCAGGCAAAGAAAGGCTATCATAGACTACAGACGGGTTTGCCAGATAGCTGGGGACATATATCGTAGTCGTAATAAGACTTGGCTGTCTTCGGACCCCGCAATGCTTTTTACTGTATTTCTACTAGAGACTAAAAATAGAATAGGATATAATTTGCATCGCAACCTAGAAGAATCTGCCTCTGGATATTTTCTAGTTACCTTAGCTTTTTTTCTCACACTACTGTTCCATCGGATACCCGATCATACGACCAACTCAACTCGAATTTACAACACTACATGCCTTCAGGAAATATCTATTTGAATCCAGGCGCTCACTCAATTTTCATGCCATGAAGTATCGTTCCATATCTTTGATATACTACAGGGAAATGTGATTGGTCTATTCAGTACCAAGATCACCCAAAGTATGTCATGTGACCATTGATCACTATAGGATGCCGTAATGTCCTCCGGCCCCGCCAGTTATCAAAGGGCTGCCGTCCTATGTTTGACACCATGACAATTTGCATTGGCAAGAGGCGTCCTGAAGCAAGGAATACCGTTTCCGCCACTTGCCCCGGCATGAAATTCTTGGAAAGCCGACCGCCGATGGCATTGCGGACGAACCGTGCCGCAGAAAATTACCTTCAGCCTGTGGAGCTCAGTACGTATAAAAAGGATTCAATGTACTTGGCTATCGCATTCCCTGGTGAAGAGATCTTGGAGTGATCGGCATTTTGGCGGCAAGCCTGGAGGTACAAGTGTGACAGTCAAGAGCAGAACCCCCTTGAGGGATTACTCCAGAGTCAGGGATTGCGGGGTCTGAAATAAGGGTTCAAACAGGACGACTCACAAACACCTCCACCCACATCCACCAGAGTCGCGGCGCCAAGTGACGCCCATGAAAGTCGAAGGAAGTGGCACAGTTTTTGGCGTGGACAGTGCCGTACAGGAAAGGTATGATTAGGGTGATTTAGTTTCAACTCCAAGATTCATGTCCGGAGTTTCCAGGCAGTCGCATCCAACCCAGTCACGTTTTGACCAAAGCGATAGACTAGATGCCGTGCTTGTAAAGTAGGCAGCTGTCATGAGAGTGCTGCTAATTCTGTGCTTATAGAGTAATATATTCGAGGATTCACTGTGCAACAACCAGAAATCTCCCCCCAACCCAATTTGCAAGCTCAGAGTAGCCTCCCCCCAGCCTCGGGGCTCTCCTGCACCTCAGCATCCACACCATTCCCGGAACTGCCCAAGTGTGAAAAGCAATGCACCCTGTATCCAAAAGGGTCATCTCCAACCCGGGGTGCACCTTCTTTGAGGTCCACCGCACTCCACAAGGTCCGGGAGCCTTTTCTTGGGTCGAGAGTTGGTAGTGTGCGACCGCTGCACAGCAAGCGAAAAGGTTTCCCCTGTTCCGCTCGGCCTTGAATTCATGTACTCAGGACGACACACTTCACGGAGTGGGGCCTCCTCAGATCTCTTGATGCCCTAGACACTGACACCTGCTGCTAAAATAGCTGCAAAGGAACGCCTCAGTCTGGTTTACCACCTGTTGTAGAGATCCGGGGGAAGCATAGCAGCACGCTCGGCGTGGGAGATCACTAGCTTCTTGCGCTGCGAATAATATTGCAGCGTGGCCTTCTGACCACTCGTGGGAACAGACGCAAATATCCATCTCAGCAAGGCTGCCAGCCGCTGGAGGTCGGTCTGATGATTCTCCTCCCATTCTCGGATCTCAGATTCTACATCTTCCGGCCAACACGGTATAAACCAGCCGTCTTGTTCGTAGTAGGCACAAGCCAGTTGAGACGTCTGCGACACCCACATTTGAGGTAGGACCTGCTGCAGATCCACAGGCTCTCGCCTGGCCTTGGTCTTGATCTCCAGTATGGACTGCGTTGGAACGGTTTGGCCTCCTTCGCAGATCCTCAACGCCGAATATGCAGAAATCGCCCTCGGGGGATCTAAGATACTCGGGCTGCTCCGCCCCATCGCTGAATCCCCGCCGTCATCCGGTAAGGCATATCCGTCCGTCTCATACCGCACCAAACACGACAGTCCCGCAAAGTCATAGGACACGATTCGGTAGTGACCCGTACTGTCTGGGATTCGACGGCTAGTAGCTGCGTTCTCAAACTCATGGCCAAACCCACGAAATTGCTGGCGAGGTATGAAATCCCGGGTCCATATCTCTTGGCGACAGAGAAGCATGGTCCTCCCCTGTCGTTCTATTTGAATGGTGAAATCCTCCAGGCGGCTCCTGTTGTGTCTCGGATTAATAAATGTCAACAGCTTCCGGATGTTGTTGCGGTCCGTCACAATGTCGACTGCACCGATGTCGAAGGCGGGACGAGTGAAGTATAAGCTGCGGAATAGAGGCTCCATCGGGCTGGCCGGGTGACGCGCTGCATTCTGCGCGATGTACAGCAGCCCTGAGTCCTTGGGCACCTTCAACAGTCTTTTCCCTCGTCTCCTCTGGGTGGGCCACCGTGGACTCCACAGATTAGGACTGCCGGGGATAGCAATCGTAGGGTGATCGGATTCAATCCAATTATAGGATGCTAGGTGTTGCACCTGGCTGATGGTTGCTGCGGCCTCACAATCTGGCCGCAGCTCGTTTGTGAACAACGTGGAGATGATAGTGGGTTGCATTGCAGCTTTGTGCTGCTAGTATCGCAGATATTGGCAGGGAAATAATTAAGGAGAATGAAGTAAAATGTTGAGTAGTATGGTATGTATAACTAAGGGACAGACGCAGCATATATAGGGCTATTCAGATGCTCCGTAGCTGGGCATATCTTGACCTGTCTCAGGGACCTTCCCTTAAGCGCTCAGATAAACCCAGCATAGCATCATCCCCCATAAAAGTTTCACTTGCCCCCTCCCTACCTTTCCCCCTTAAACGGTGCACGCCACCGTTGATGGGTCTTCATTATACTCGGCGATGAGCGAACCATGGAGTTAGCCTTGCATGCGGCGCAGCTCCAGACATTGGATATGCCAGCTTGACGCAGACACGCTGTGCCACCGCAGCGGCTTTTGATTTCGAATGATAGGATACGAATGATCCATTTCCAAGCGCCGCAGCCAACTGCAAGTGAGGTCATACTAAGCCAATCAGCATTATGCGCCCGCGACTACTATGTGCCTTAGTCCTTGCGGAGCCAATCGGCAATCCCGAGATGCTAAGGCGTTCTAGCCTCAACACGCCCACTGGTCTAGTATGACGCAGTCCTTAATGAGTGCCGATTAGCTTGCTCTCAAGGCACTTCAAATCTCTCTTTGGAAAAGCATGTGAGCCTTTCGACGCTCCATTCTATTCCAAAAAGTGCCCACTATTCTGACCAGAATAGCTCTGAAGGCTGTTTCAAGCAGTAGTCATGGCGCATTCAGCGGGACGGCGGAGCTCAGTCAAAGTCAATCTTGGAGACTGTGTGCTACTCGTCCTGGTTTGCTGACGAGATCGGTAAATCTCATGCTTGGAAGAGTGCACATGAAAGCCTGGATCCGTCACTGTACCTCCGGTGGCTTGCCCTTTGATCTCCCAAAGATTATTATCAAGTTGTGCTCCACGTCGAAGGTATTGAGGGGAAACACTCGCCAAATCATCTACCATCCAGCACCGGTACAGGCTTGGAAACCCATCGGTGTGTCAGGCAATGGTATTTTACTTGCATGAATGTCTCGTCGACCTCATGTTTGAACGCGCAAGCGTGGAAGACAATGACCAACAAGAGCCGGTTAACTGACCCAGAGGGTAGCATTTCTGGCATACAGCGAGTTTCAAGACGGATCTACCATATTGATAATATTCGTCGATGTCGCCAGCTTACCCAGCAGGTTTTCCTACCACAGTGGATCGACCTGGGAACAATATGTGCTGCGGTCGTTTCTTGCAAAGCATGTGATTGACACAGCATGCTTGACATTTCAGTTCTACCAACCTATCTGACGCCCAACGCTGTGCCACATTTCTTTCTGGGTGAAATGATGTACACACATCATTGGCACGAGTTGCATCTAGTACAGCGCCACCAGGCAGACGAGCAGGGTTCGTGCCGCGCCGCGCTGCGCCACCATGAACCCCGCCTCCACGAAGGGTGCGACTGTACGCGAATCAGTTTTCCTATCTCTCGCTCAGATACATCGTCGCCTCACTTTTTATTGTTCGATCCCCACTTGGCCAGCCTTGCGCAATGATCCCCGGACCGGACGGGTCACTCTGCACTAGCCGTCTTTGATGGCCTGCCATAAATCCGCCATGTACAGATAGATACATAGCTCGACTACCGCGACCGTTCCAGAGATTCCAAGTCCAGATCTCCCAATATAATTCATTGTGCAGAACACAGACCGCTACTATCAATTGAGAGTCCTCGTCAGACAGCCCACTTCAAACCGGACTTCGATCATGCCCGGGCCAGACCGAGCCTCCGGCTTCATGAACACAGCGTTAAATGTGTCCTCCTCCGGCAGTAAACCCCGAGGCTTCAAAGCGAAGCCTGCCAAAAGATCGCGGCCCCAGAAGCCATGGTCCATGTATCCCGCGCTGCACGAACAGGTGCAGGCGCTCCTCGACGACAAGGGTCTGCATTTCACATTCCATACCAGCGATGAAGACGTGGGCGTCGTCCAGCACTATGACACCAGGGTCATGGGGCGGTTTGTCTGCCGCAATGCTTCCTGTCAGGCCGGAGGGTGGTCCAGCAAGATCATCGCCATCACGGTCCGCATGTACTCGCCACGCGAGTACAACGCGCGCGTCTATCACCAACACTGTCGGGGCTGCGGTTCCATCAGCCGACCCGTCCTCGATGAGTCCTCCTACGCAGAACGGATCGCCTATCGACTCCAGAAGTGGAGTGGCATTCGGCAGCCGAAGCCCGAGTACTTCCAAGGCCATTCCCGGCGCCCGCACAGTCGCGGCTTGTGCGAGGGCTGCAAGGCCGGTCACTGCATAGATAGGGCACAAAGTCAGGATGATGAAGATGTGGATGACTTGTGTATATCGATGGCGAAGATCCTGTAAGCTAATCTGGCCATGTGAGGAAGTAGTGGGGTCGAGGTTTGTCGGCCGTGTGGTCTATACTGTTTCCCGTCAGGCTGGCTTGGTGGACTTGGACGTCCCCATGGCTAGTGCAGTCTGACAAACAGATGTTAGGCTAAATGAAGGCATCGACTGGGATTGCGATTTTGCTCCCAAAGAGTGTGATCTAATCGCTTGAGTGGACTGGCTTGCAATCTCAACGGCTCTAATGTCTACTCTAATCCACTTCAAATAAGCTCGAGCGGTAGACTTTGATTCTCCTGGCAGTAACATATACGCAGTAAAGAGGTTTATTGCAACGAATAGAATGTAGTTGGATCAATACGGTCGTTTGGACTCTGTCACGGTAGGATTGCTTTTCCCTTTACAAATGCAGGATAAACTCTTCGATTCCATGCCCTTAAATGACGGGTGCGCGGCACACTGCCCCTACTTACATGAGACAGTCGGATCCTATGATCTGACAGACTTAATCCCTCCAATAACATCTGCAGAGGCGTCTTGGATGGAATCAGAGCGGGTCAATTGTCTGTTTGACCCATATCCAAAAAGCCATGGATACGGCCTGCCAGTTCGATCCACATTATTAGGGCAGGACTAACATAAGCTGCCATGGGCTAGACAGACTTCGGGAGTGATCAAACTACCGGCAGGTTGCTGGCGTGTCTGATTCACTATAGCTGAATTGCCACGCTTGAGCGGGCGAAGCGAGTGGGTTCCAGAAGGAGGAGGCGAGGCGTTTTTCCCGACTTCCTACTCATCCCAAGACGAGTGTGTGTGGGCGCTATCTGGTGGCACAAGGATAAGGGGCCTTATGGCAGACAACACGTTGCCTGAAGTCTGCCCGACCGCCTCGTTCAATTAATGAGTGGCATCTGGCCGACTGTTGGCGTGAGACTGATGACTCGCATCCCTGCAAGGGAGGGGTGCTCGGACGCCTGGTGATTGGGAGCCACACTCCCGGTAACCATACACACCATGACACAACAACTCCGTCTTGACCTAGCAGCTTCATCGCTTTAGTACTTCACCCTGGGGTGTTGGAAGCAGATTTGAGGGGTTTGGAGACTAACTCCATACCCACGACTCGATATAAGAATGATGGGAGAAAAGTCAAGACCAAGCCTTGACTTTGATGCACCATCAACATCGACTCACCTTGTTCTCCTCCGAAAGAAATCAGTCGAGCCTCCACTGCAAGCAATGTCATCCATAACCTCAATCGGCCCATCAACAACATCTGAGACCCTGGGCCTCGATTCCCACGCCATTCTTGCCTTTTTTGCCCGACTCAAGGATCTCACTCCGTCAGATGGATTCAACATGGTTCAGGCGGTGGCTATAGAAAGAAACGGGCTAGTGAATGAACTGACACATTGGCAAAAGAATGTTGTGGATCTTGAGAAAGTTAATCACGACAAGGAGACAACCATCCGTGGCATGTTCGAGACATTTTCGAAAGAGAAACAGTCCCACGATCACACACAGAGACGGGTGAAAGAGCTTGAAATGACGATTGAACAGCTCAAGGCGGAGGCGTCCAGGCTGAAAGATAGTCTGTCCACCGCTAACGCGCAGGCTCGAGCCCTCGAGGAGGAGAACTCGAAGCTTCAGCGATCGTTAAACGACACTCGCACTAGGTTGAGCACAATTGAAAGCTTTTCTGCAGGACATATTGAAGGCGATGAAAATTCTCTGTGAGCGATCCCTGCATTGGTAGTCTCAGCCAGGATATACTGATCAATCCCACAGGATCGATGGGTTCACTGCTCTCTGGGCATTCGCCAAGACAGAGCTGCACCCGCTGCTGAATGTTGATCTCTCCACAGAGGCTGTCTCGGTATGTCCCAGAATTCGAATGTCGAGGGATAGGTTGCTAAAAAAAATCACTCCAAGAACGATTCGCTGTGGGAGAACCTGAGACGCTGCGAACTGGTTCAGAGTCATCAGATCCCCATCCCCTGTTCCAATACCCAGCCAGCGAAACACATCCGTTTGGCAACTATTCTCGCTCTTCTCGCGCGGGAGATTGACAAATATATATTCCAGCCATGCTATATCATCCCGGAGGAGACGCACATTCGTAAGGTTCTGTTTGACCTTGCCGGGACAGACAGCGCAAAAGAATCCTTTTGCCGGTCTATGCTGCAGTCCATCAACACTATCAACACACCAGACCAGGAGAAGAATCTTTTGAAGATGAAACAGACCGTTGTCAAAAGCGTACTCTCATACCTGGAGGGATCAGTCGCAGAGGCTCATCTTGCTTCCGTGCGTACGGCCTTGGAGAGGATTGTGAGCAGGGCAGCTGATGTTTGGGACCCGATACGTCGCGCGAAGCGCAGATACGAGCCGGATTTCGACCAACCGGGAGTTGACGAGACGTGGCTTCCATTCACTGTAAACGAGCCCAAGCAGGCCAAGCCAGAAATGGGACGGCCGCCCCAGGAGGAACCTGCTCTCACCATCTTTCCGCGCCTTTCAGTCGTCGAAAAGGGAACCATCACGGCACACACGGTTGTCATCCAGCTGAGCAAGTCATCATCCATTTTGCGCGAGGCTTTCGGTGAAGTATCAAAGACACGACAAAGTTCTGGCTTGATCCGACTCAAGGGCAAAGGCTTACTGAGCAGACCATCCAGCTCCAGTGGTTCAACCCAGCCAAATGGGCAGACTATCGGTGCCAGAAAGGCAGGTGGAAAATGAACACCCCGCAATGTAACAAATGGCGGCTGTTCTGTGCGAATTATGGGATCCGAAGTTGATACGGAATGTTATGTTGAGGTCCCGGCTGTCTTGTAGAAGCAGGCACGTCGCCCTCCTTTGACCAATTATAATCAGATACAGATTGGAGTCGTGATATATCTATACCTTTCGTATTTTGACGTGAGCGAGTGATTATTTTAAAATTCTGTCTAAAGCACGTCTTCACAAGTTGTATCATTAGAGTACACATGCGTTAGCAGTGTTTCCCATTCTTCAGCGACTAAACAGGCGTAGGCAACGTTTGCTTCTTAATACCGCGGCTTACAAGTCCCGCTGGTGGGTTTATTCGGATTCCGCATCTCATGATACTGTCCGGGGCAGTCCCATTCTCCACTCAGGCCATTATCCCAAGGATAATATTTTGTTTGGCGACCCGGTAGCCAGGTCTACCACCGCCTCCGGTTGGCCACTTGCCCAGGTTCCCGCAGTGTCGATACCTATATGACCCAGATTACTCGACAGAGTCACGAACCCGTAGTGCGTGACGATGCCCATGTCCACCCAGCTGATGCTACTGGCAACTGCAGCCGAGCTATGGTACAGCACCAATAACTAGTCGGAAGTTGGTATATATTATCTGACCCAAAGCTAGATTCGCTCCGCAAACAAGGGAGAGTCACGTATAGAAGACGGCCATACCAGTTATACGGCAAGATGAGCCAATCCAGATCGCTGGAGTTGCCCTTGGAGACCACGTTGATCTGCACGCCACACCCCTCCGGGAGATTGCCGGGACAATTGGAGAAGGTGTATTTTATCGGAATCAACGTCGACGGGGATGAAGGAGGCCCATTGAACCTTGGCATACGTGCCGTTGGCGTCAATGTACTATTGGAACGTGGCCGCTGTGCACTTGGTCACATTTACTGGGGTGGCCACTGCGGAAGCTGCAGAGCCGACCACGGCCGTCAATACAGCTACTTTCGCAGACCGCATATTGAAGTTTAGGGGACATATGGTTGATGTACTGGTTTCAACGATGTCTACAATGTCACGGAGGTGGTCGTATAAAGTGCTGATAAATATAGACAACATTCCCCAGCATCATGAAAGCAGGATGGTGATGGCATGTATCCCGATAGTCGCAGCGAGAAACTGCAGAATGGGGCTCAATTAATGTGGTTATAATCTTCTCAACATTGGTATGTCTGTGACCCAAGGCCTGTAAATATCCTGCGCTAGGTCCATTGACGTGCGACCTACATAGGAAACTATGCCGCACAAATTAATCAGGCCCTTTCCGAAGCCGAGCAGCACGTCGACAGTGCCTATATCCACGAATCGATCTTCCACCGCACCGGAGAATCCAATGGCGACATTACTTGGATAGCCTACTTTGGTTCTAGATGCCAGGATGATGGGTCCGGCAAAAGTGATTTCTGCTAGAGATATTCGTTTTGAGGAGAAGATGGGTTTGGCTTGTTCCGGGCTTGAGGCGCTTGCATTATACTTTTGGGTTTACGTCAAGACTTATGTGTGCATTCTGGGAATAAAGATGTTGCGTGAAAGTGTGCTCGACAGGCGGCTGCAGACTAGCTTTACAACTCCTCATTAGGAAAGTGTTAATCACACCTTGTTGGACTGTGTGTTCCTCTACCTATATCGGCGGCAGAGTTCTGTATAAACATAAGCCAGCAAACATTCAGTAGATACGGTTGACCCCGGGGTGTGGGGAATCGATCTTTCTAGTCCCCGACAAACCTTGTGTAGTGATTCGATCAAGGGGGATACCGTTACCACACTGTCTATTTAGACCCCAGATAAATCGCCAAATGGATAATGACTAGAACACCGACCGCACTGCAGTCTCGGATTCTGCCTTTTCATGGTGGAGGTGGAGGTTGAGCGAGGATAGGGGGGGGGTTCGTTAGATCAATCTGTAGGGCAAGAACCTTTGTCAAGTCACTTGGCAAGCTAACTGAACAATACTCTTGTGTTGCCTTCCTCTGGTCTTAAGTTATGCTATGTTGTATCATGAAATGATGATAATAGGGTTGCGGGATTCCTTAGAAGGATGATGATTGCTGTTTGACTTGGGGTTCAGTCGGGTAACAATGACTTTGCTGGTACGTGCCGACCTACGGACTTGTTTAGCAGCTACCCTGTTAGACTAAAGCTCTGCTAGTAGAATAATAAGCAGAGAAACATAGCCTACATAGATGTTCTAATAACACTTATAAGTTCAGAATCTAATTATCTTGGCAAAGCAGGAAAAGAAAAGAAAACTTATTGCCTCAGAAAAAAACCTTGATAAAAATACCTTGAGTTTTGAATGACCCTAGATATCCTTGTTTGAACAGGAGCCTACTCAATGATATGTTTAACCACTCCCCAACAGGATCGAGGAAGTAGGAAAACTTTGAGAGAGAACAGAATAGTTAAAATTTCAGTAGTCTTGAAGGACTGCGTAGTTAGGGCATGTAAATTTGATTCTCCTGTGTATTATTCTGCCGGCAGATCTTCTATTTACGCTAGGATGATACCTATTTTATCAGTCGGTCACCGCTGCGGTAAGAGTCCTGGCATCGATTATTCTCTCTCGTGGCTCACCCCACGGTATCTTTATCAACCCCACATTGAGCGACTACTGCTAGAAACAACGAAGAATGTGTCGTCGTTGCTAGTTCGGCCACGTGATTCTAAGATATACGGGAAGGCAGATAGTTCCAACCACCAAGAAGATTAAGCACTTGTCCCATCACCTTGCCTCTGAAACCTCAAACCGCCGTCAGAATGTCACGCAAATCCATTCTCGATCTTCCTGCCGAAATCCTCGACCAGATCCTCTCCGTCTGCGAGCAAGACTCAGAAGGCAGACGCTCATTGCAACGCCCCTCTCCTCACCTGCCAGAAGCTCTACCATCTCACACTCCGCGTCCTCTACCGCGACCTACGGTTCACCTACTACTCTCCTCCCCCATCGCGGACGAGCTCCCTGCACCGGACTCTAGAATCGAATCCAAGGCTATATTCGTTCGTCTGGTCTCTTGTCCTCGATCTGCGACCGAAGGATCCGGCCGAGTATATCACTCTCGACGACTATGTGGCGGCCGCTAGCGTGCTAGGCCGGTGTGAGGCGATCCACTCGCTGCAGATCTGGAGCGCCGCCTTCCTGTCACCCGAGGACCGGAGGGAGACCTTTCCAAATGGAAACGCTGCCGGGCCAACCGGCAATCGACCTCTGCCGATGGGAACTCTTGCAGTATGCTCTCTGCCAATGCCACAAATTGCGGAAGGTCGGGATGGCCAGCAACCGAGATTCGCCCGGCTATGGCTTCAATCTCCGCTTCGACTGCCAGGCGCAGGCCCATGACTTGCGACTCTTGCCGGGCACGGGCAGAAAGCTCCCTGTGCCAGGGACGACTCCCGAAAATGAACGTGCGTTACGGGTTGGTTGTCCTCTCCATTTATCTCGGAAGAATCATGTGTCCGAAGTAGAAGACCAAAGATCGGTCGAAGCTGACCCGAACCCTTCTAGATAGAAACGGAAAAAAGGCGATCCAGGTCTGCAGGGTGATGCCCGCCGCCGCTCGATTGACTTCAGCATATCATTCGGGGAGGGTCACGCCAGAGAAGGGTATGAGGCGAGGAACATCGAGTTTATCCACGTCTTCGTGTGGATGAAACGTCATCCGCAAACGCTCCGTCGCATGGTCTTCGGTGACTTCAGGTCCCCTACGCTGGTTAAGGAGTTCCGAGCGGCGGCGTACCCCAACCTGCACACTGTCGTCTGTCCGCCCGTCCACGTGAAGGAGCGCAGGCGTGGGTATAGCACGTACCAACCGCCCTCCGAGGTGGTCGATCGGCTTCTGGGCCCGTCGGTGCATACGTTTGTGTTCGACCTGGCCACCTATAACCAGCAGTTGGGACTATCTTCTACCGCGTTTGGGGAGCCGGAGGAGCGATGGCTGCGGGAGCTGGCCCATATTGCCGCCGCCCCGGGCCGAAACTTGGCGCTGCGGACAATCTACATCGACTTTAAACCGGACCCGGATTGTGAACACGGATTCGATCCGGCGAACTATGCTTGGGACCGTATAGTGCGATTGCAGAGGCAATTACAGCCCTTGGGCATTCAAGTGGAGTACACAGCGCCTTCGATGAGGCGAGAAGAGTATCACGAGCTGTGTCAACAACATCAGGAGTGGATCGTGGATGAAGCCCATCGGGAGGAAATGAGGAGGATATTATTGCAAAACCTCTTACAACATAACGCCTTCTTCGGGGGCTGGCCGCCATGACTACCGGTCGGAGAACCAGCTGGCAGGGCTGAGTGGACCATAGCAATGTCATATGATTTATCTACCTCGTAATTTAATTAGTACAGTCTCCTCTTCTAGAGTAGTATGGGCTCCACCCCGCTAGCCCAGGGTGCATCGAATCCAGTTCCCCATCCAGTCTAGTCATACTCAGGCGACATGACTAGCCCTATCCCATTGCAATAAGACCATGTGTTCGGCATAGACCCCTCAGCAAAAAAGCATGTGCTGTCGCTTTTATCACTCCGCCCTAGCCCTCATCTTTCTCTCTCTTCTTCTTCTTCTTCTTCTTCTTCTTCTTCTTCTT